GCCCGGGCACCAGCTGGCCCGGCGCGGGACCGAGCCCGGTCTAGCCGAACCTAGCCCGACTGCCCAGCCTAGTTGAGCCAGCGGTCCGGCCAGCCAGCGAACCGGCCGGTTCGACCGGCAGTTCGAGTCAGTTTTGATTTGTGACTTCCGGTCCGAGTCTATTTGCGGAATTTTTAATATTTTTCCGAGCCAGTCCAGTCCAGTTTAATCGCGTAGATAAGTCCGAGCATTTTAGCATATAATTAATTATTCCGAGCATGATACTTAGCATTATTTTGCTTAAATATTTATGTAGCCTAAGGAGAGTCGAGCCTCCGACCGCTACTCCAGCATCAGCACTTGCATCAGATTCCAAGTTTTCAGGTGGGGGTCATGTACTGGATGTCACATCATAGATAATATCTGTACCATGGCAGAGGTATGTTTAAGACAGTTTAATTTCGGGTTGGGGGCCGACCTAAGGGCTTAAATATCCCACCTGATGACCGTTGGGGGGGTCGAGGCCTTTATACCCCATCGGCGTGTGCACACGAGAGGCCAAGACCGAGGGTCTTTTGACCACAAATCAGAAAAGAAAACAAAGAACAGTTTACAGTTTCAGCTTTTATATATTTATGTTCATGACACGTTATTATAGATGATGTTTTATTCAGTACTGGTCTTTGCGGAGCATAGTGGTTTGCTCATGCCCCCATTGTGTTTTTCAGGAGACGGAGTCGAGCGTGCCGGATGAGCACAGATGTGGCGCAGCGTGGTCATGAGAGTCGGACATATTTTACGCACATTTTTATGTCCTAGCTATGATCATGTATATTTATTCAGTTATGTATGCATGTTATGTATTCGTATTTCGGATGCTTTCGCTAGCCAGTTTTCTAGACAGTGCGAGACAGTACAGACTATGCATGTTTAATTCCATTATCCGCAGCGGATAGCTTGGTTGCATGTTTTATATATGTCTGTGAGCCAGTTAAGTTAAGTTTTTATCTGTGACATCCCGCAATAAGTCAGTATTTTCGAAAACCAAGCTCGCACGTTCTTTTGAAAATAAAAACAAAAATTTTACTCTAATTTTTAAAGCTAGTAAGGTGGGGTGCGACACGGCATGCCCGCTGGTGCTGCATAATCGGGGCGCTGGGATGCATGCGTACACACCTACTTGGATACCAGCTGCAAGGTCGAGGTTTGGCCGCACACACTGGTCTGGGGAGTTCGTGCGT